AATTTGGACTAAAGGAAAAAAACATGCAAATGCATATAAATCCTAGCCCTAGTAATAGGTAAGTAATCATAAAGACTTGGGTAGTAAATCATGAGAATAATAAATTAAGAATTAAAACAAGTTTAAAATAAAATAAAATGAATAATAGTTGTTAATTATTTATTATGATTTTATACAAATTATATGTTATCTCCGAAACCAGAATATACTGTTTTTATCAATAGTTGAAGTTRGTTACAATTAATGTGAAAAATCAAAACGGAATGCAAATGGCGGCTCGCATATAGGACCGTTTTACATGTATGAGAATTATACATAATACGCGTTCCATGTATTTAGTTCAGTGGGGAAAAAGCAGGAGGAGCTTCCTTTCCACCATTCAACAAAATAGTTGCTTTTCCAGAGAAAGCAACAAAAATTTCTGTGCATACTAATTGTAGCAAGAAACATTCATCAAAAACGATTTGACTATTTCAACAGGAGTATCCTAGAAGAATATTCGTTCAGGATCTGAATCAATGCATCTAGTGGTATAGTGGAAAGGGGTGTTTAACCCTCAATTTTCATTTCACAATCCTAACTACTCCACTGAAAGCATCTAACGACTTAAAAATAAACCTGACTKCTCAGAACTTTGTTATATTATTGTCATTAACTGAGTTAAAAAGCTATTCTACGATATAATTTGTAAGATARTTTTTTCAGCKGACTATGATTGACAGTTAATTCACTTACATCACGAGATGGCGAAGTGAATAGTTGAGTAGAGTTAAGTAACCCATTAAAAACAATAGTCATAAAAGGTTCAATATCAATCATTCGGGAATCTTTTAACAGTTGTCGTTTTGCGGCTTCTGGCATATTATCTACTATCCTTATGTTTTTCCAAAAGACTTTACTGGTTAGTTTGTTGGAAAATTACTAACATAACAGCAAATAAAAATAAAAATACAGAACTTCCAGATACCAAGACTGTCATTTCTTCTTCTACTTTGAAGCTCCACACTCGWAGCCAGATTATGTCTGCTCGACAGCAGCCTGTTTCTATTGCATCTTCTTCCAAAAGTGACTTAATGGAAATTATTCTTACTATTCAAACCTCTTAATCACTAAAAATTGAAAATATTCTTAAAATCCTTAAAAATGATCTTTCCAACAAATGATGAAGTCTCTAATCTTCTCGCTCAACGTTCAACAATGGTAAGATGCTACCAGATATTAGCCTACGAATTGTCAAGACAAAACTACTCTCAAGTGTCAAATAATCCGTTCCTTTGATCCTGAATTATATATCACAGGAAACAGAACGAGGAACACCAATGTATTACCGTTTTCTTACTGTGTAAGTTGGAAAAGCCTGAGAAGACCGAGACACAAGATATATATTTATATAGATAACTAAATATTGTTTTAATTGGCTATATTGTTATAAACAAACTTTCATTATAAACAATTTAAAACTATAAGTCTAGTTGTAATTGCCAGGTAACAGTGCTTAACAAACATCTTAGTTTGACAGCAGTCTAGTAGAAAAGACATTTTTAAAATCCATTCATTCATAGCTAATTTTTAAAAATTTAACACATCTTTAAAAACTCATTAAATAATATCATATAAAATGGCAAAGAAATTAGGAGACTCAGCTGAACTTAATTACGACATGAACTACAATTTGTTTCTGTTGAAGACGTCGATGCAGAATTTGAAAACAGCACAGGGTGAATACAATATATATATATATGTTAAGGCGAGCGTCGACATTTGGTGAATGTTGACATTCACCGAAATTTCTTCTTAGATGTAGACATTCACTGGTAAATTTTGATATGCACTATCTGTTTTTGGTGAATGTTAACATTTTGTAAAAAAAATGACGAATAGTATTTTTACGAATTTATTGGGCACCTAACATATTTTTACAATAGCARTTGAAAAATAAAAGAAATATATAGTCACAATTTTTTTTTATAAGCATTCAAAGTTTGAATTTTGACAATATACGTAAAAATCACGAAAATTCGTAAATTATTTGATGTTAAAAATTCATAAAACATTTTCCTTTTATATCTAAGATTTGAAAATTAAATACACGGCTCCTAACATATTTTTACAATAGCAGTTGAAAAATAACTACAGATAGACCAGGGATTCTCAAACTTCAGCTCAATAATATAGGTAGAAATAGATTTGGCGGAAATGAAAAACTAACCTTTTTCGTTTTGACGGAAACGATGATTGGTGGAAACGAAAATCGAGTTTTTTGTCGGAAACTATGACCGCCCAAAAATTCATACGCTAGGATCTTGAAGCCACACAACCTATAGGGTTAAGTTATAAGTTCATAACTATTGTGTATATGTATAAAAATAAATTAGCTATAAATAGGGCAATATTGGTTAAATTRCCGTATTCGGTATCAGTRACAGTACGCWAAAATTGTGAAGAACTTAAGGACGTCCTTAAAAAAATTATAATATTTTTTGAACTTATTACACGAACAATATTTTAAAATTTAATTGTAAAATTTATTACATCATGAGGAGGACTCAGTGACGCCAATGTCTATGTCACCAAAATCACAAAATATATTTTCATTAATGTTGAGTGGGGATGTAGTTTGAGGTATAGTTATCAAATACAGATCGGAAGAAAACACACATTTTAATTTTAGTTACAAAAGCTTAGTAAATATGAAAAATGAATAATAACGATTTGCGCGTCAAAATTAAATATTTCAGGGATAACTTATTTAACATTAATGCAACTAATTAATAATATCGCAATATTAAAATACCTTTTTTTTTTAAACAATTTTCTTTGTATTGACACCAAATTAGTAAGTTAGTTCCTCAGAAATTAAGATTAACAATATGCATACGGAATACGATGATGAACCTTATAAGTTATGAAATATAATATTGTAATTTATTATGAAAACGTTTAAAGTTTACTTGATAGTACGACTATTGACCACAGAATAAATTATTGTTATATGACTTTACACTATCCCAAATAAGTCTGKAAAAAATCGTACAAGCAGGTCCGCTATAACTGGCTATAGTTATCGGCACTCGTCGACGACACATATACATATGGTATATCACGTGACACACCTGCGCGAAACCGGACGCGTTATCGTTTTTCCTGACTTATTTGGAATAGAGTATAGTTGAGCTTGAGGCTATATCAAAATAGTAAGTTTAGGTAGATACTTATTAGCACGAAAAATGTTTTTGTTTTATCAGTACCTCTTATGGTAACWTAAAAGAATATTTTCTTAAGATAATGTCCTAGCTAGTGCGKGCGAGTACCTCGCGATTTCATTCCAATCATACTGTTCTCACTCATTGCGTTGCCCGCATGTGAAAAAATACAATAGCTATTTTCTTTATCCCTGAATGCGTGCAAATCAGCTAGGATATGGCTAAGCGTCGCTAAATATCTGTGAGCGGGTATGACAGTGGGCCCAGTGGGGGGGGGGGAATTAATTTGACAATTGATAATAAGTATTTGTCATAGGTAAGCTACTATAGACTATAGTTATAATTTAGTTTGGACAAAGATAGGTATGAACTACGAAATGTTACTCTTGGTCTTTATAGACGAATAATACCATTGCGCCTTCAAAAAAATCTAATTTTGAGAAGCTAAAGGGGTTGTTATTTAAATAAAATAATTGTTTGAGGTTTCACCAACAAAAAAGGAATAATATAAATTATAACAAGGGCATAAAAAATATATGGTGAAATGTCATGGAATYATAATAATACAAACATGATAATAAAAACAATTTTAATATATGGAGTCCCTTACGTTATATGGATCCCTCTTTGCCTCTGCATCGTATAGGACATAAAATGTCCATTTTAGTAGATTTTAAAAATGTTACCATCCGGAACACAAACACTTCCACCGTCTCAGTTTAATATCTTTATTCATTTTTTTGTATTTACTATTTCGTCAAGCTATAACACCTATGTATATAACCATGATTTATTGTACGATGATGCCACTTCTTTTGCATACTRAAGTATGTAGTTGCTATGTAATATATATCACCATTTACCATTCCTTCATAATAACTGTTTTTTCATTACAGAAAAACACAACGTAAACCGATGGGTGCACAAACTGTTGGCGAGCAATAAAACAGTCGCTGAGATGAAACTCCGAAATGATTTCATGTTCCACTTGGTGACAGCTGTCCAGGAGGGTGAGATCCCAGCACCGTTCAACCAATATCCGCCGTCGTTGCCGCTCAGCAATCTGACATACCTGTTGACGGGCAGCTCGCCTAGCGCTAGTGGCAAGGACGGAAAGAAAGGCGCTGGTGCCTGGGAGTGTGATTTATCCAGTGAAGAGACTGAAAAGCCCATGTTGTACAGACAATCCCCTGACGGCGGTGCCTTTTTGGCTGCACAACCTGTACCTAAGTGTGGAGCGTTCTGTTACTTGGCCGTGGTTAGTAAGCCACCAGCGAAAGACAACAACCAACAACTTTAAACGTAACATGAGAAATGTTCTTACCATGTATGGTACATATGTATTTATGTATATCGTGTCCAGAATAAATTTGATATGTTGAAACATTTTCCTCATTATAGTTTTTGCTATTGACGTTCAATTTTTAATTATGCGCACTTAACACTCATTTAGTTATATTACTTTATACTTTTTTATGGGTTAGTTGTGATCTATTATTAAGCACTGTGGTGCACAAAATAGTATACCATKATAATAAATGACAACCATGAGCTGTAAATTTGGGAATAAGTTTTTGGACGCTCACATAAAATCTGACCGTAAGTTAAATCTGGTAAAGACGCAACTATAAACCGCAGTAACCTAGTTAGGGATACCGAATCGTGAAACTTAAAATATTATGTAATATTATTTTTGAGAAACTTAGAAACCTATATTGTCGATGTCATTAAAGTTTTCGCGTTGCTTCCACCTGTCTGCAGTCATCACATACAATGTTAGTACAACCACCTTTTAGTAAACGAGTCTTGTATATATATTTTATGCATATATAACCCTAAGTCGGATTAGTTATACCATTTATAACTCAAGAATGGCTGTACCGATGTTGATGATCTTTGAACAGATTCGTCTCCACCTCGAATARCAGAATAACTATTAAAATATGTAGGAAAGATTTACGTTATATAGAAACTGGTTGATCCGTGCACTTAATTGCCCGTTAAACGCCAAATTCTATATTATGTTCATGATAAAAGACGTAGTCGATGGTTACCAGTTATCATCGGTGAACCCGATTTAGCACAGATACAATAAATTGTTTCATTGAAAACTGAATTCTAGATTTTATTCTGCCTACCCAAATATTTTTTTATTGACTGAACAATTAAAAGCGGTACGATGCGAAACATATATAAAGCAAAGAAGCTCACTTAAATTAAAGTCAAAAACAATTTCTGAAAAGGAAAAGTTTATTGATGAAAATATTAAAAAATTGAAAGAGGGCCAAATATCAAATTTACAGTTCGTTAAAAGTGTGCGTTGTAAATTCTTACCACACCAATTTTTTTCTAATATTATTTACCTTTTATGACTTATTATTACATAATGTGGCGCCGAACACGGGTATGAACTGGGGAAAATTCCCCAGAACTATTTTTGGGTGGGTCAGGTGGGTGGGTGGGTGGTCATATAATTGTTTTCTGTTTCATCTTAATGGAAAGACATTTATGATTAATCCATTTGAAACTTTTAATRGAAAATATGAAAAAAAACAAGTTGTTGATTTTAGCGGAAATAATTTTGGATATAACGAATCTGGTTTTTGTGGAAGTGTATATTTATCACTATACTAAAGAGTTCAACAACTTTATATCCTATTAAATGGTCATCCGAATTGTATCTGATGTCT